TTCTGCCTTGGAAAGATTTCTGGGTGGGGAGTTGGCCAATGCTAATTAGCAAAGATGTAAAGGCATCAGTAAGGCTCTTGAGAGGAAAGAAACAAGGAGGGAGATCTGGACTTCACAGTGCTCTGTGCAGCCTGTGGTGTGCTCTTGTAGCTGACACTTTGGGATGTTGCAGCTGTGACTGTGTCTGCCCCTGAGAGGAGCTGTTGGATGTTGTTGCTGATTGTCTCGTTCTCACAGTACCCACTGCGTGTAGTGGGGCAGCCAAACACTTTTCCCAGTATTCCCAGGGCAAACTTAGTACCCTGAGTATGAGGTTCCACGTTTCCCACTGGGAGTGGGTGAGCTCCAACCCAGGAACGCTGAAGAAGAGAGTATGAGGAACGAGGAAGAGGCCAGAAGCCCCCCACTGATCACCCCGCTTGTTCTGTGGTCCTGGCCTTCTGCAGCACTGCTGTCGTGTTCCTGCCCGGGCAGCTTCTCTGCTCAGTGGTTGGAGTCCTCAGCTGAGACCAGGAGCTGAGAATGAAGTGTCCTCCCTCTGTTCCAGGGACGTACATCCGGACCAGCGATGGGCGGATTTTTGCTATCCGGACCACTGGGAAGCCAAAGGGCAACGAAGACCGTCGGGCAGCTGCCTCAGGTAGGGCTTGTGAGCGCTCTGCAAGGCTTGCTCGTCTGCTTCCACGCCCGAGTGTATGGAGCCTGCTGTTCCCTGGCATTCAGAGCTCACCCCACAGCCTCCCCACGATATTCTTGCCTTTTCTGCCTCTCGGCTCCCAGCTTTCTCTCCGAGGCTGTCCTTCTCACCTACTCCATCTCCTTGTTTGCAGGCTCCCAGAGCTCTTCGCTGGAATCCACAAGCAACGGCAGACACAGTGCCTCATCCCCACAGCTCCCCAGCGCAGAGGAGCTCACTCGGCCCATATCCCCCGACAGCCCCGAGATCATCAGCGAGCTGCAGCAGTATGCGGAGGCGGCGGCAGCCCGGGAGTCCCGGCACAGCTCCCCCAGCACCACCGCAGCACAGGGCCACCCGTCCCGCACCGTCAGTGCGCCCGGCGTAGCAGCTCGAGGAGCTGAGCAGCGCGCGGGGATTCACTGCGTGGCTGACTCCGTGTCTTCAGCCCTGCCAGTCACCAGCCAGCACGTCGATGCCCGCTCCGTGTTGGACTTACGAGGCAACAAGCGCAAGTCGAGCTCGCCGTCGACTCCGGAGGAGCAAACCCGCAGGCAGCAGAAGAAACGCCAGCTGCCGTCGTCCGTGCAGCCGTACGAACACGGGTACCCCGTCTCCGGTGGGTTCGCCATGCCTCCTGTCTCTTTAAACCACAACTTAACCCATCCGTTTGCCTCCCAGCCAGGAAACTCCTTGTACATGGTCGCTGGCTCCTCTTACTACCAGCTGCCCAATTTACTCCCAGACCCTCATCTGGTGTTCCCTGTGACTACTGACCCTCTGCTGACAGCCGGCACCGCCAGCTCTTCTGCTGCTACCTCAGCCACCGCCAGCGTCCCCTCATTCATGCTAAGCCCTTCTCTGACGGGGGTGCTGCCCAGTTACTCGCTTCCCTTCACGCAGTCCCTCCTGCCCGAGCCCAGGATGTTCGCTCCTTTCCCAGCCCCCGTCCTGCCCAGCAGCCTTCCCAGGAGCGTGGCATCCGCCTACCCTGGCTTCGTGTCCCCTCATTCGGGCTACCCGGCCGGGGGCTTCCTTCGCTCCCAGGTGCCTCAGTTTGAACCCCAGGAGGTCCCAGAGGTGGGATGCAGCTCTAATGACGAGGACAAAGACGACGATGTTATAGAGATCACAGGGAAATAACGGGCCTGGCTCCCACTCGGTCTCAGCTCCACCGGGAGACAAAAGTTGCAGGACCTCTGTGGGAGTCAGGATTTCCCCCCCCCTCCCCCCCCACCCCGGGCAGTGGGGTGGAGAAGGATGCGAAGGGTGTGGCGTGGGGTTGGTTTTTTTCTTTTTGTTCTGTTCTGTTGTGTTTTTGGGTTTTTTTAGCCATCGAGGATCTGAATTGTACTGAGGGGCTGGGAGACGGTGGGGGACATAGGGTGGACCTGAAGGCCGGGGGAGCACAAGCCAGGGCTGGAGGGAAGCGGCGATGCAAACCATAGGAGTGCCTCCCTCCCTCCCACGCCCTGTCTGTCTGTCTGTCTCTGTTCTGTCTTGTCCGAAGGGGGAGGCGGCTCGGTGCCCGTCGCTGCCCTTCTCAGCCCGGAGGCGCGGTGCTGGCGGGCGCTCTCCCTCTCACACGAACTGCCTTATCCGTGAGCTTCCCTCCCCACGGGAGGTGGGGGCCAGGGGGAGGCTCCAGCGGAGGTCGGGGGGTGGGGGAGGGGGAGAGCGCCCCCCAGCACCGCGCCCGGGGGGGGAGGGGGGGAGCGACGGGCACCGAGCCGCCTCCCCCTTCGGA